GTGGACTATCAGAATGGATTATGTTTTCCTGTATAAATCTGAATCTTAGTTCTTAATGAATACTTTGTAAATTCGACTATTTACAAAGCCCATTTAGCGTCTTTTACTAAACAATGTGGCTAGAACATTCAAAGAAGTATCTTAAGAGATTTATTATCGAAGGGCAGCAAAGATTGTGTATAATATAATAGGTCGTACAAAGAAGTCATGTGTTGTACGCATCAGATTTTTTTTTAAACTGCTGTAATTCGCTATTAATTTTTATGTCAGAAAATAATTAGACTTTCCGGTTTTCTCAAGTAAAGGATCCATCAAGTCGGCGTTAATCCAAATTAGTTGCAAGAAATGTTCCTTCAAATCACATTTCATTAGCCTGATTCGAAATAGTTAGAAACAATTCTTAGTACTTGTCAAAGCAGCGTTTCCTACTGCGTTTTAATAAGCTTCAATTGGAATTTCAAATTTCATATGAAGAGTGGAAACCAGATGCTGTGACCTGTGGAAACAAACGAACCCATAAGCTAGTGGGAACCCCGCTGTTCTAAGATTTATTATGATACAGACGTTGTTTTCTCCTTTACGTTTTCATCCATATTACTCGCGGGAAGTTTTAAAACTTGGAAAACATAATATCTTGAAATATGTAACCGAATTTAATATATTTCTACCAGGTGAACTCTTTGAAGAAATTTTCCTCCAATCGAATATATCAAAGATTCGTAATTTTAACTCTCCAACTTCCCAGAATTCTTATTCTGTTTCTTCGAAAGTTTGAGAAGCAAATATTTTCCCATACGTTCAAATTGTTCTGAGTGGCTAAATTTTTTTTTCTGTTCTACCTTTAAGACAGAAGTATTCAACTGACCTCTTCGATAAAATAAATTTAAAGTTCTTCGATTGATGCAAATTTTTCGAGAGACGAAAGAAGAAGTAGAAAAGGCAAGTAATTGGATAAAGTCGAAGAAATTGGATTTTGCGTTCGCTTCCGCATTCGAATAAATTTTGACTTGACTCGGTCTGGAAACTTCACTCAGCTTTAACGGTGGATTGGTACTTTCTAATGTTTTCCATGTCAAGGGTAGAAAAAGACGAAAAGGAAAAAGGGGATTTGGAAAAACTGTAATTCAGATGTCTTTAATTCGAACAGTATTTCAACTCTTATTATAGAACTTGATTTTTATTACTCAAGACTTTGGAGAAAAGTCTGTTACATAAGAAAGGATTTGATGGTGAATCCTTATAAGCCCTTTTTGATTGATGATAAAGATTTGATTGATAATAAGCTTTAACCTTGTTTCTTGACTTCTCTCATTTTAATCATTTTTTAACGTGCTTTAAGAACAAGTTCAATAATTCCATATGACAAAGCAAGCAACCGTCATATAATTAATAAGGAAAAGAAAAAAAATGTTTGATGCTAGTCTACTTTCTGCAACTATCATGTAGTTTAACAGTATGCAGTTATCCAGAAATGCCACTACCCTATTCTTGTACTTTTCCATTGACTTTATTATCAGTCGATAAAAGTGCTTCTTGTCGCCCAAACGGTATAGTGGTTAGAAGAGCCTACAACGGTACCGAAGGGCCAGGGTTCGAATCCTGGAGAATACTGGATGTTTGTATATGTATAATGTCGGTGCGGCATGGCGGCTATTTAAATATACGGCAAGCCGCAAGTACTCTCGTGTGGATTGGTGGGAGTGGAGAGGGGTGGGAGATCCTCGGATTCTCCCCTCGGAGTGCTCTCCTTCAACTCTCCTTCCTCGGAGTGCTCTGGCAACTATTGTCCCATGTAATATGGACAAGACAACAACAACAAAAGTGCTTCCAGTTGTCCTTTAAATTTCTGCATTGCTCAAGAAATATAAGATGCGTATTTAGGTGATGTACGAAAATAACCCATAAAAACTGATGCCAGTCAATTCAACCACCAGAAATATAGCCCATAACAAATTACGGATGTTTCATCTGTGTAGGAAAGAACATGCGTAGTTAATCATTAATATGCATGCCTTCTCCGAGATTCGACCCTTCGGTACTAACTAACTAACTAAATTTGTACCTGCTCAATAGCAAACAAACTTAATAGCACTACAGGGACTGAAAATCAGCCAGAAGCCACCTTATGGGTGGTTAGAACTCGCTTGTTGGGCTCAGGGTCCCACACCCCCGAGACACCAACACTTTTAATGAACTCTCAACGAACATCGAGCCCACCGCTAAACACGACCAAGTCAAGACCACCGTCTCGGCCGGGCCGAGACCACGGTGGGGTGGGCGATGACAACTTAGGGTCGATGACCGGCCGTTATATTGGGCTACCTGCCAGCACTACACGGGATGCCCCTCTCCTAAGGCTTTTACATGGAATACCAAGGACAGCAGGGACCAGACGCTCAATGGCCCAGTTTGCTATTTGGCTACCAATACCCTGGTGGAAGGGACTTACACCTCCCGGCCCATGAAGAGCAAGTATGGACCATCGGGACCCATCGGGACATGGACCATCGGGAACCCCATGGACCATCGGGAACCGCCAAGTTCATAAATTTTATACCCCCGTGGCCCAGACTGCCTAGGTACAGATCCTAGCCAGTAGCTTCGCAGAGTTCTCTACGTCGACCCCCGGGGGGGACCCTTCGGTACGGCACTCAGCCACGCCGGTCAGCGTAAACCGGTTGGCGTCGCTGACTGCTGTATCGAAGGGCCAGGGTTCGAATCCTGGAGAACGCATGGATGTTTGAAAATGTATAATGTCTGTGCGGCAGGGGATATTCTAAATGAGCGGTGAGCCGAATGTCCTCTTGAGAAATTGAGGGTAGGGAAGAGGGATGAAACACCCTCAGACCCATGATGCCGGGATGCTGTCGATCAAAATTGGTGGCAAAACTGAGTTAAATAGCACTTTCACTTGTTAGGTGCTCAAGGCTGTTGCCAACGACAGACGTAATCTTGTCATGAGGAATTTCGTGGTATTAGCTGACTATAGGTGACTATAAACAAGTGAGCATTAGCAACATCAACGACATAATTTGCTTATTTTGAGTTGTTATTTTTAGAGAGAACATCACAGTTTAAGAAACAGAGCAAAGATCCTCCTTCTTCAGAGTGAGAATTGCTCATTTTTAATATTCCTCTTATGCACAACTGTGGCATCTATGTAAATTGAAATTTGCTGAAAACACACAAATTCATAATTAAATAATTCACATTTTTACATCAAGTTATTAAATACATTGAGAGCCATTTTATGCTTTGCGATAGCTAATTAAACAAATAAACTTGAAATACATTAACATATTATAAATCTATATTATTATTAAAACATTTAACATTTCATACAAAATAACAAGACCTATTTTTGAAATCAAGCTACAAAAATTAATACTTAACAGAGTTATTGAAATGTGTGCAAAAACGCATTTTCTTAAAATAAGAGTTATTAGCTGCATAAATCTTACTAATATGTGCAATGCTATGCTTAATATCAGTAGGCTATTAAAAGTTTAAATGCGCATGTTACAGTATTGAAAATAGAAATCTGAAAATTTATAGCATTTTATAGCATTAACCAAAACCATAATTAAAGTCAATTAAAAATATTTTTATACAGTAAACTTTTATTTAAAATAAATATGACAATTAACGCACTACAAAGAAAAAATAATTTATCATGCAGCTTAAAGGGTATGGCAACCTGCCTGCTACAACTCAACGCTGCCAGTGTGGTAATTCATAACAAAGAAAAACAAAATAATGTTTATTCTATTGTTAATATAGATACCAAACAAATTGATATTATTAACAATCTGTTTATGTTATCATAAATGCTTGTTCAGCTACGCTTTATTTATTATTGTTCAAAACGGCTTATTATACAAATTAAATTATTTTTGTTATTATTATTATTGAAAGCAGCGAGTAATTAATTATCTGTCTAAAATTGTACTGCCATTGGATTTATTACCTGTATTTATTACGAATAGCAACCTGCAATGTTGCACGAATATGGAGTTTGTATGTCAAAATTCTGAGCAACATCAAGTTATCCAGTGTGATGAGGTGCAAGTGATGAAGATGCTCTGTGAGTCAACATATTTCTGTAATAATTTTAACGGATATATGTATCGTCTGCTGAAATTGAGCAGCTGATCTCCGTATAATCCACGCCTTAAATTTGGAAATTGACAGTTCAAGTTTGACTGGGAACAGTGAACCACAAACCAAGTCACCAAACTGCACCAGCGAAGACGCATTTATGTCGGAGAATAAAGCTTTCTGTGGAACTCGATGTATAAATGGTTATGGCACTGGGATTGCGGTTGCAACAGGCAACAGAACTGTGAGGGCTCGGTTGATCAGGAGGATGAAGGTTTTGCAGAGCTCTACTACAACACTTCACTCGGTGGTACAAAGCCTCGTTCTGAAAATAGGTTGCTTTGCTATCAGCACCGGATTAAAATTTCTGGTGCTTGGTTTTTACCGCAATTGCCTTTGGTCGGATATTTTAATATACATCACCATTCTGGTCATTGCACTTATTCCTGACGTACTCACCACGATGTAGCGATGTGTCTCACCGAAACAGCCCTCCGTACGGCATCGAAGAATTGTCTAGTCAAGAACTTGGACGCAGTAGAGGCCTTGGTTTTCACAAGTGTAATCTACTGTGATAAAACGGGGATAATCTCTGAGAAGTTGATGCCATGGGGAGTCACCTGAAAGCAGTTTAATGCTCAAATCTTGATTATTGCGAATTACTCCCCGGATAAGTTAAGTTGGTTGTGGACTCTATCAAACGGCGATTCTTAAGATAGACAAATAAAGAAAATCTTTATAAAAAGTCAGCGCCAATAATAGGACTTGAAAGAGTAGCAATAATGAATGGCCATTGGAAGTTGCGATGCTTCAGATCATCCTGAACCCTGAAGTGAGGGCAAATGGCGACTATGAGTGAACACATAGGATGAAATGAGTCTCAAATTACTTCTCTAAATTAGCAAGTGGGTCGCCTTAAATTACTATATCCAATGGTTAATGAAAGCGAAACACCTCTTCCACGATCATGGAGTCCTAAGGATAAATTTACATATATTGGTCTTTCTCAAAATAACCTTAGAGTGCATTACAAAGAGTCTGGTAAAAATCACAAATATGCCGCCAGTGTTCGTGCTACCCACTCAATACCTGCTGCTTGTGGATTATATTATTCTGAAGTAAAAATAGTGAGCAAAGGCAGTGATGGATATATGGGGGTTGGTCTTTCTGCCCAAGGTGTGAATATGAATAGGTTACCAGGCTGGAACAAACAATCATATGGCTACCACCGGCGACGATGGTCATAGTTTTTGCTCCAGTGGCACTGAACAACCATATTGTCCAAAGTTCACTACGGGACATGTAATTGGTTGTGGTGTGAATTTCATAGACAATACCTGTTTTTATACCAGAAATGGTCATCATTTAGGAATAGCATTTACAGATCTCGCACCAAACCTGTATTCTACTGTTGGTCTTCAGACACCCGGTGAAGTTGTTGATGAAAACTTTGATCAATCACCTTTTGTTTTTGATATCGAGGATATGATGAAGGAATTAAAAAGGCGCACAGGTCTTAACTATTGAACGATTTCCCGTGGTTGATAAACAAAGTGAATGGCAAACTACTCGTCATAGGATCGTTCAAACATACTTTGTTCATCATGGTTATTGTGCAGCAGCTGAAGTATTTGCTCAAAGTGCAGGACAAGCCTTCACAGACGATATTAAATCAATCAAAAATAGACAACAGGTTCAGAAACTTGTACTGGCTGGACGCATGGGCGAAGCAATTCAAACAACTCAGAATCTTTATCTTGGACTTTTGGAACAAAATCCAAACTTATTGTTTATGTTGAAATGTTTACGATTTCCATGAAACTTTGTGATAAATTACTTATTCAAAATTTTTTATCTTCCCTCGTATATGCGTACAAAATTTTAAAATAATTAGAAGGGCTGCTCATAATTCATTTACGTTTAACTCAAGCATTGAAAACATGGAATTTAGATTCAATTTATTTGAAATAATTGCTTAAAGTATTTTTTCTGAAGCCTGCAGTGAATCAATAGTCAATAAGATAGGCAAATAAAATACACATGTATGTTTTTCTTAGTATTGGTGCATCACTTTTATAGTACAGTGTTACGTACCAGGAATGCGTTGCTATGCATTAATATTCCGCATTGCCTAATCTTGCATTGTATTCTTTTCAAAAGCAAAAAAGAGTTATATAGACTTCAAGCTCATACACGCAAATAAAGACAGAGCAATAAAAGACAGAAGAATAGAAATGCGTAACCCTTTCCTTTCCAAAGTAAAATATACCCCGTGCCTGCAAATTTAAAAAACTACCGTTATTGAAGGAGGTATGTGTATGTATAAGGGAACGTGTTTACATAGCTCTAGGGATCCGAGTGATTGTCCGTATTGAACTGGGGCAATACAGCCATCGAGATACGTGACTCTGCATTCTGATATCGCGAACAACGGTCCGGCAAAGTCCATTGAAACACCGTTCTGAATAAGAACGACATATAAAGGCAAGTTAGAGATCTGCGATTTTAAAAAGCCTGGTCTGAAGTTCCACAACTCATTACCGAATTTTTCATTAAGATTTTAATATTGGATCTTCCGCTCTTGTTTATTTGAACTCAAAAAAAAAAAAAAAAAAAAAAAAAAAAAAAAAAAAAAAAAATTAAAAAAAAAGGAAATTTTCAGATTTAAATTACTCCAAAAAGGGCGTTTTTTAACATTTTGTGTGTTACCTTTCTTTATTAAATATCATGTTCTCGCACTTAAACCATAAGATCCAGTGCAAACAGCAATATCGCAAAATAGTTTTAAAACGAGCATATCTTTAGAATTTCCGATACAGAGACTCACGCGCTGGAGATAAAAATGTTTTTTCTGCACAACGTTGCCATTGCTCGCTTAATCCTTGAGTTTTGTTTCAAAAATTCGCAAAGTTTTAAAAAATATAATCGATCATAAAACAATTTCAAATTTCAAATTTGGTCTTCCACATGCTCATATTCTTGGAGGATTATTTATTCAAATTCGATACTCTATGTACCGTGGTTTTAAATCACAATACGAAATATCATACATTTATGCAGATTTTTTCATTATTTAATTTCTTCAAATATAATGCAGGACTCTAACATTTTGTGGCAACAGTTTGAAAAGTGAACCGACATTTATGAGTCCGACGCAAAATGCCAAAACGAAACTAATAGTCCTTCGGGATTCAAATCCCTTTGGACTAAAAACTGTAGTTAGCTCTGTTCCGGAAATTAAATTATCTGTGCATGCATACCACTGTCTGTCAAGTTAGTGTAGATGGGAGTCAAGTTAGTGTAGTTAGTGTTAGATGGGAATGAAGCGTTACAGAAAAGTAAAATGACTGGGTAAAACATTGGTAAATTGTCAGAAGCAAATACAAATTGGCCCTTATTCAACTTCTGGAGATTTAACAAATATATGTAAAGGGAATAAGACTGATTATAAGCCTAAAACTAACTAATCAACAAACGGCTCAGAATTGTGTTCTGCGCTAGATAACAAACTCTCGCTGGTATTTGAGAAAAAACCCGTATGCATGAGGAACTCAGTACCGCCCAACCGGTATAGTTGTTAGCGTCGCTGACTGCCGTGTCGAAATGCCCAGGTCCGAATCCCGGAGAAGGCATGAATGTTTGTAAATGTTTAGTGCCTGTTCGGCATGGGGCACTCTAAATATGCGGTAAGCCGTCCTCGAGAGTTTGAAGCTAGGGGAAGAGGGGGAAGCTATCCACCATAGTTGGAGCGGAAATGAGCCAAATCGCACTGTCACTTGTAAGGTGCTCAAGGTTGTTGCCAACGACAGTCGTAAACTTGCGCTCTTTGACCAGACGATTTTCGTGGGCTTGGGCTGACTATACGCCAGCAACTGCATTAGTCAACAGCGCCAAGACAACGAGAAATTCAAAATAGTCCAACTAAGGAGTCAATATTGAAATTTAACTTGGAAATTTCATGAAAGCCAGGAAGAAATTAAGAATAATCCTACTCTTAAAATATGCAATTATGATTTGAATGATCTCACAAATAGCAACAGACGTATGTCAGGTATTTTCTTCTCTTCTTCTAGTATGCCATCGAGGTGTAATTGGAAGCATACTTGACGCGTATTCGAGATGTCCAGGGTTCGAGTCCCTGCGAGTGCATTGCACATTTTTCAAGTCTCCTGCTTCAAATAACCTAATGAGTCTACAACGTATGTTATCTAATTTTATTATTATTATTATTATTATTATTTGCTTTGTTGTTGTAACTTATCTCACTTGTCTTGGTAGTGCCTTCCCATACTAACTAACTATTAAAAAAATGGTGCTTGCTTTATAAGAATTTACAAAGAAAGATTGAGGAAATGGGCTGCTGAAATTTTCCAAATGGTCTAGAGTTTACCTATTACAGTACATCGTGCAATCCAGCATCCAGTATTTATTAAAATCAATAGTCTAGGACATAGAGAGATTACAATATAGTCGCAATATAATTTGAAGTTCCAAAATTAAATTGTTTTGGTGTAACAAAATCAACAGATAAACATAATTAGTATAAAGATAAACATAATGACATAACTATAATAAATATTGGGAGCACAATGTTATAATGAACTGTAATAGTAATTCTAAGGAGGTAAGTGTTTATGGTGTTATTTCAGTTATAAAAAAATATTACAGTTTATAAAGTTCACAAGTTGAGTCACTTTATACATATTCACAGGATGTTAAAATTCACTAAATTTATGCAGCATAAGTACTTAAACTTGATAAAGATTTAGGCCGTAAGAAAAGCGTCGTCTATATAGAGCTTTCATGTTTATTCTTTTATCTTATTCGTAACGTCAGTACTAGACAGTTTCATTTGAAAATACCTATGAAGACATTTCCGCTCTTAGCAGGGAAATTTGTTATTAAGAAAGCCATAAATATATTAATCTTAACACGATTTTCATGATCTCCTTTTTTTCTTCATATTCAGTTTTCTTTAAATTGTAAAATACTTTTATTACGATTCATGACTTATTGTCATAAATAAACTAACGGACTAAACGGACATGTTTATTTACGTATGGGTTTAAACAGCATCGAAGTAATATTGAGATCACTGTATATAAAGCCATGTTACGACTGGGTAGTATTTTACAATAAAAGAATTTCAGATTTTTTATCCAGACCCAGAAACAGAGGACACAAATAAGGTTTGACTCTACTCATTAACCCAAACTCAAACACTCAAACTGACGCCTTTTTAAAATTTGTTTGGTTATGTTTACTTATTTGAGTTTTAAAGTAATAGAAATAATTGAAAAAACATTTCACAGAATATCAATATATAACTAACTCTAGTTGAAATAAGCTTGTTTTTAATGCGAAACATTTGATAATGAAAGAATAAATTTTACTTAAATTTTAATAAAATTAAATTGAATAAAAAATAAAAAAAGTATCTGAAAACTTTCAGATTTTATATTACACCCAGAGGGGCGTTTTTTAACATTTTGTGTGTTACCTTTACTTATTAAATATCATGTTCTTTGCGCTTAAATCATAAAATTCATTCAACAGGAATATCACAAAATATTTAAAAAGGCATATCTTTAGAATTTCCGATACACAGTCTCGCGTGCTAGAGATAAAAAATTATTTTGTTTTCGTACGGTGTTGCCATTACTCGCTTTGAAATCGTAGAATTTGTTAGTGAAAATTCTTTATATAGTTTGCAAATATGGTTGGTGTATTTAATTAGGGCAAAGCCACTAGGCTATCTGCCTAAGGGGAGGGATGCCTTTCGTGGAGGACTTTTAAGGGAAACTGGCTCGTATACCGTACACATGGGGAAAACCACGAAAACGCCCATGCAGCCAGCCCGTTCGAGGGATTCGAACCTCGGACCGAACTACCAGTGTTCAGCGTCTTTACCGCTCGGCCGCTGGTGACAAAATATGAAATAGATAATAAAACGAATTCCAAATTCGGGCTTCCGGATGCCCAGATTCGAATGGAGGACTACGTTATTCAAAATTTGATGTCTCTGGGTACGTTGCTTTTCAAGGTGCGAGAACCATACATACATTCATGCACATTCTTCATTATTTAATTTCTTAAAATATAATGCAGGGTTCTAGAACTTGTTGGCAACAATTTGAAAAGTGAACCGACATTTATAGTGAACCGACGCAAAATGCCAAAAACGAAATTAATAGCTCTTCTGTGGTAAAGCCTTCTGGGCTAATGAAAACCATGACAGAACACAGAACTGGTTTTTAAATAGCTATTGTTGTTGCTCAGATCCACGTAAAAGTTAATTAAATAACAGTACATCTTCAACTGAATAATAATTAGCAGTATACCTTCACCTAACATCCCGCACGAAATATCGTAAATATCGTATCGTATCATCAAATATTTCACTCCCAATGGGGCCATATATTGGCTAAAATTTATCTTATAAATTATATCTATTCTCTTGTTTTCAGAGTATATGTATATTCAGAGTATGCTATACGAAGTATCTGAAAATATATGCAGAGTTTTACAAGGTTTTGTTTGATTAGCAAAAGCAGTTTGTTTGGCTTGTTTCAGATCCGCAATACCCTCATTCCAGAATTAATATCCTAACACACACAGAGATAGCAATGTACTTGGTTAGAAACACATTCACCGGCAGATGATGTAATGCATATGCAAATACGGTTGGTATAATGCTGTCCTATATAATGCGAAATCCCACATGAACTACCATTCCATCTTCCCTCCTTATAGTGCTTTCTCTTAATAGCTCAGCCGTTCTAGTCTTTAAAGTGGATATGCAATGCATTCAGATCTCTT